AGAGTTAATGATTCTGGGGAAATAATAAAATTAAGTATAAAGTTTGTAAGTATAAACTTACTTCATATTGAAATCTTGCATGTCATTCACATTTCATTTGATATTTATGGAAGCTCGTTTCTTTCTCAAGATAAAAAAAACTACATTTTAATTTACAATTTTGATTTTTTTTTTCTCAATAAAGGCAATGGACTATTCTCACAACTCTGAGGGGGAATAAAATAAAGATACAAATGCTTTTATACATCTTTTATCAAGATATAAAATTGTGACAAACGCAGAATTCTGAGATATAAACTCACAATTGAGAGAACAATGTTAGAATTGTGAGATAAAAAGTTGCAGATACCTTTTTTTATTCTGTGGTGGAAACAAAAAAAAGAGCAAAAAAAATAATGAGATGTACACTCAGAACTGTGAGAGAAAACATGTTTGAATTGTGAGATATAAAGTCAGAACTGCAATATATAAACACAAAATTGCAAAATATAAGCTTGCAATTGCAAGAAAAAAAGTCTATTGTGAGATAAAAAGTTGCAAATACCTTTTAATTTTTTTTATTGCTTAGTAATATTTGAATATATTTGTACTGAATATCAAGACAAAAATACAGAGAGAGAGCAGCACTTCTTCCCTTCAGCAGAAGGTCATGTTCAGTTTTGGTCCAGACTGATCATGTGACTGTGTTTTGTGTGCAGCTCCTGACCAGAGACCCCTCGAGTCGCCCGTCGAGTCTGTCTGAGGTCCAGGTGTCTCCGTATCTGGTGGATGTGGATTGGGACGCCGTGCTGCAGAAATCTGTCCCACCTGGATTCGTTCCAAACGTAAGCAGCCTTTAGCCTGGCGTCCCTCACTGAAGAATATCACGAGTCACGAGCTGCTGGATCTCTGTCTGTCACAGAAGCGCCGTCTGAACTGTGACCCCACGTTTGAACTGGAGGAGATGATCCTGGAGTCCCGTCCGCTGCACAAGAAGAAGAAACTCCTGGCCAAGAGCAGAAACCAA